TCGAAAATTTTTTAAAAATTTAGTACCAAAATATTGATAATATTTTCAAAAATATAATCTAAGGTCAATTTCGTGTTGATTAGATCAATAACAAATAACATTTAATTTTTTCAAATTGACATTTAATTTTTTAAAATTAATATTTAATTTTGTAAAATTAATTTTTATTGTTATCAAATTAATATTGAAATTCATTTAATCAATTTTTGGGCTACTAATTTATATCAATTTTTTATGTACTAAATCAAATTTTGTTTGATTTTATTAAAATTTTAATTTAATTTTTTTATACAAAATTTGAAGAAGGGCAATTGTGAAAATAATAAAAACATTTGGGATAAAATCATCACTTTCCGTTAGCAACATTGACGGGAAGGAGATGGAGGGGGTCTTCGGGCAATGAATTTCAAACCTCAAGAGGTCTCCGTGTTATTTGTAAAATTTTAGATTATATTCGTGTAATATTGCAAAAACTCAGGGGTGTCCGTGTCTTTTATCCTAAAAACTTATGTGAGAAAATCATCAAAATGGCTTTAAAATATTGTTTGATGAAGTTTCTAGCATGATGAAAACTCATCCACACAATCATAAAAGACAATAAAAAATATCAAATTTTATATCCACACCTATACCCACAAAAGAGAAAAATGAAAACACATAAAATATAACAAGTAGAGCAAATATTAAAAAAAAATACAAAAAAAATTATAAAAAAACTATTGTCAATGGGAATTCTAGAGGAATTTAAACCCTGAATCAATTAAGACCTAATTTCAGGTAAAGATGTGAAACTCAGATAAAAAAGTCATCAAATCATGAAAAATGTGTGCTATTTTTTTATTATATTAAGTGTGATTTACAAATTAAAAAGTAAGTGACAAAATATATGTCGTTAGATGTATAAAAATTTTGAATTAATTTCATGGAATAAATAATTTCATAACATATAGTTTCATATATTTTATGGTGTAAATAATAAAAACAAATAACACAAGAGAAGCAGAAAGAATAAGATAATAGTAAGGACAGAGAGAGAGAGATAAAGTATAAAATAGATATATAGAGAGAGTTAGATGATAGATAGGAGTCTTCGAAAAATTTCGCATGACAATTGTCGGATCAATAATCGTCAAATGATTTGAGCCGCAAAAAAGCTAAAAACAAACTTTTCTAATTACTTTATTATATGAATAGATATAGATTACAAAGTACTTGCAATTCTTGTTTTTGTATTAATTTCCATTCTTCATTAGATACAAAGTATTGGATTAAAGTTTGATTTTCAATATACTTTTTTTTCTATTTAATTACTATGTCTTTTTTAATAGTTTACGATTTTACATTCACTATGAGTGAGTAGTTTAATTCTGATATGATTGGACGAGGGATTCTCACCGGTGATTGGGTGTTTTGACGTAAATATGGCATTCAATGTTTAGTGTTATTTCGTTGATTGAAATAATTAAAATTAAAAACATAATTGATTTGTAAACATCTTTACTTAATTGTAGTCAATTAAATTTTGCATAGTTAATTCTTAGAGTCCCTATAATCAACATCAAAGATGTTAAAATTTCTACTTTACACTCTAAAAAATTATTTTTTCCACATTGCACCCTCATTATTCTAAATTGGTTGCAATGGGACCTCTCAAATCAACTGTCATCTATCTTCCCATTAAATCTCGTTGCATATACAAGGCACATGTTTTGCCCATGGGCAAAACTGTCAAAACACGTAATGTTCTGAACAACTTGGAGGATTGGGACTCTTTGATAAAAGAATTGGGTCTCCATTTATGAAGCACGGATACTTCAAAAGGGTCAAAATATCCGTATCGGATACTTTTGGATTCGGATACGCATCAGATACATACCGGATACGTCTGAGAAGTATCCTAAAGTTAAAAAAAAAATTGGTTTTCGGATACGGCCGGATACGTTTTGGATACGCGTGGGATACGCCTAGGATACGCATAAGGATACGGCGGGGTATTATTCGAATTTTAAAAAAGTATAGGGGCACAAGAGCAATATATTTAGGCCCTTATTTGCAAAAAAAAAAAAATATATTAAACTAAAAGTTTAAAAGACTAAAACATGTACACTTTTCTTTCATAGCCCGTCAGGCCCCCACTCCCTTCAGTCGATACTCGACGACGATCGTCTCTCTCTCTCTCTCTCTCTCCCACTCACACTGACGATCGACTGACTCTGATGGTTAGTTATTATTATATATCTTTGATAGAAGTGTGATTTACTTTATAAATCATAATTATTACATTAAATATAATAATAAAATTTTTAAAAATATATATTTTATGGACGTATCCTAGCCGTACCCGTATCTTTTTTTTTTTTTTTTGTCGTATTCCCGTACCCGTTTCGTATCGTATTCGTATTTCGTATCCGTATCCGTGCTTCATAGGTCTCCATGATGATTCAACTCATGGTTTGACATTGAAACCCCAACTCACTCATTGCGAGACATAGTATCAAGGAACCTCACTCATTTGATACAAACCAATTCATCCCCTCCTATTTCAATCTCTCTGATGGCGGATCATCCCCACAATTCGAACACTGTTGACCTCTCAAACGATCTCCATTAGTGGCCCAATCAACGCCTCCGATCACCCACCGAAAAATCCCTCTAGAGAGGTACTTTCTACTTCAAAGAAGCTCTCCAGTCCCTACTCACTGGGTTAACTTAGCCAACTTGTCCTACCACTTCCCTTGAAATCATCCAAAACAATAAAACCTACAAAATCTTATGCAACATTTCTCCTATCCCCATGTTCTCCAAGTTCACCTCCAACCAAGCCATACTCAAAGCCATCAACGGTTCGACTGTCGTCCACGTCATTGACTTCGACATCGGAATCATAGGCCACTGGGCCTTCTTCATGAAAGTGCTCGCAGATAAAGACGAGTGTTGAAAATCTAGCTCACCTACTCTTTGAATCACAGCTTTGGTTCCCGAAGACTACATAATTGAATCACAATTGATTACAGAAAACCTAATCCAATTCACACGTGAACTCAAAATCGGCTTCAATTTCATTTTGATTCGAACATTTGAGTACCTATCATTCAAAGCCATAAAAAACGTAGAGAAAACCACTATGCTTATGTCTCTAGCGAATATGAGTTTTTACGTTGTGCACTTTTTATAGTTGAGAGACTACCACATTAGGTGTTTTTATAATTTTGTTCGTGGGTAATACATGTGCTTTGCATTTACAACGAGATTTAACGGGAAAAGGGACGACAGTTGGTCTGAGGAACCTCGTTGCAACTAATTTAGAATAATGAGGGTGCAATATTGAAAAATTAATATTTTAGGATGCAAAATAAAAATTTTAACATTTTTTGGAGTGCAAAGTGTGAAAAGCCCTATTAATTTTTCCATGAGTTAATTCTATCACCAAAATACATATTTTTTAAATTCTAATTTCAGTTAAATATTTTTCGTCTTGATTACAATCTTGCATGAGTTATAAATTAAGTCAAAATTTCAATTCAAGGTGGTATGAAATTTGATAGCTATCCAGTTCCTTTAACATTGTCTCTTAATTTTTATCAATTGTCTCTATTTTCTAAAACCAAAAGATTTTTAATTTTGTTTGAATCACATCACCTTTAGAATTTGTCTTAGTTTTCCTTCAGGAGACGACATCGATATTTTTCTAGTTACTACAAGATAAATGTCCTACGCTTGGAAAACATTTTTATTTTTACCACTTTTGGGGACAAACACAAGTACATTAAAGGACCCCACATCCATATGTTGTCAACATGTTTATAAAAAAAAATTATAAGTCTTAGTCCCTTTGTTAAAGGATCCGGAAGCACTAATTTTGTATCATAATTTTGATTTTAACGTCACAGTTTTTCACTGGGTCCCTGATTATGAGGTATTTTATTTATGGTTAGACCTATTAGAATTTTAATTGTTTTCTTGAGATAAATTCGACCCCTGGTTAGTATAAATTTATTAGACATGAAAAAAAACTTAAACACTTTCTTACTCAACAATGATCCGGACATATGATTCTTTCAAAATTCTATCATTAAAAGTAAATTCCATCTCAGAATTTATCTGCAATATAACTTTTCATTTCCTTTTAACGTTGGAAGTTGAAGAGTCGTCCATGAATAACTATTATGCAACTGCCTTCTTTGTACATAAAGAATATTTGATCGATGAGCCCTCTAAGATGAATATAACAACTATTGAAGCTACTACTAATAATAAAAACACATATGCTTTTGTGCTTGAGTCATTTAATCTTTTTTTAGATTAGGGGATTTTAATTTTGATACTTTGCATAAATTAATGAATTCATAATTGTTGCCTAAATTCAATATTGATTCAAACAATAAATGTGAAACATGTGGAGAATCCAAATTGAGTAGAATATGTTTTCATACCATTGAAGGAAGTATTGAACCTATAAAATTAATTTATAGTGATTATGTAATGTGAAATTTGTTTAAACTAGAGGTGAAAAGAAGTATTGTATCATTTATTGACTATTGCACAAAATATTATTTTGTATACATGGGTCATGTATTGTAACAACTAAATTTCTAATTATGTGTTTAAAGAAATTTCTATCATCACTTATCTATTCCTCAATTCTCAGCAATCAAATATATCACATGCTGAAAAAATGATAGTCTAGAGCATGATATTCCTGTCAAACCGGATCCACAAGTCCCTACAATTTGATATGTTATACGCCCAAACAAAGATAGTCTAGTGCATGATGCGCATGCCGCTACAAGATCTGAAAGGGTAAAAAGTACATAGCCTTGCTCTTGTTTGGAGAGCAGTTGTTTTTGTAAGTGAAATCTCTGATGCTCAGGTTAAAATAGAGTAGGTTTACCGCTATACCATGATCTGCCTTCTTAATTTTAGTCTTAAACAAGGGGAGGATTAAAACTTTAATCTTATCAAGTAAATGAAATTAATTACGTGGTCGGGCACATGCGAAAGTAAGCAAGCATAAATTTTATTATAAACTACAATCAAATAGTATTAACACCACTATGACGTCCCATGGACACTTATTATTAGTTAACACACCAAATTTAATTTAACTTTATTATATCCCACCCAAGGATCCTAGTCATCTTTCTTCCTCACCATGCTGAAAGAGGCGGAATGCTTTGTTCATTTTGGAAGAAATTACCAGGATCAACCATAGTCTTCACATGAACCAACCTATTGAAGTTATTTTGGAAATATTTAACACCCCAAATACTTGATTGTGCATAACTTGTATTGCCTTTGTCGTTTATTCCTATGTCCAGATCCCTATAGTTGATATATGCAGCTCTAGGGAACTTGGAAACAAAGGGAGCCATGTAGCTATAAAGCTTTCTGATCCAACTTATATGCCTTTCAGATGCCTCCATTCCAGCTTCGTCCCAATAAACCAAGTGTTGGATTTTATATAAATACCCAGCTCTATGTGGAAAAGGTAAGGCGGACTCCGATATCTCATTCATTCTTCCACCATATGGATTCAATATCATCCCTGCTGCCTTTGCCTCATCTTCGTAAAACATTTTCCATATCCCTTCCAACCCATTTTCAGAAATAAGTTCCTTTACATAGTCTGATTTTGCCTTGAAATATCTCGTAGATAGAGCAGTCCTATTGAGTAAAACATTAAGTGATTCTCCACTTGGGAAACCAGCAAAGTATAGGATTGACTCAATCCAGCTCATTTCAATGCAATCTTCTCTTACCAAACCCAACTCAGGGAAGCTCTCTTGGATCAATGGGAGGAGTCTATCAACTCGACCGAGAAACAGGGACTTGAATGAAGCTTGTATAGTTTTCTTACCATCTTTATTTGAATCCACACTTATTATAATTCCAATGAAAAGATCTTCATGAAACTTGTGAGCAACAGATTGCCACCGATGGATAAGCTTTGTTGCATTCTGTTCTAACATCCTGGGGACTGTGAATGCAGTAACTGTAGGTGGAACAACTACCAACTTTATCTTCCAAGAAAGAATGACTCCAAAGCTTGCACCTCCACCTCCTCTGATGGCCCAAAAAAGATCTTCCCCCATGGATTTTCTGTCAAGAATTTTTCCACTAACATCGATCAAATGTGCATCAATGACATTATCAGCAGCAAGACCATATTTACGCAGTAAGGTTCCATACCCTCCCCCACTAATGTGTCCACCAACACCCATAGTCGGGCACACTCCAGCAGGAAATCCAAGGGTTCTACTTTTCTCAGCAATACTATAGTACAGTTCACCTATAGTTGCACCTGCTTGAACCCATGCTGTGCCATTTTCAACATTAACTGTGATTGACCGGAGGTTGATCAAATCAAGAATCACAAATGGGACTTCAGAAACATAAGAAAGGCCTTCATAGTCATGGCCCCCACTTCGTGTTCTAATTTGCATGCCATGTTTTCTGGAACAATATATGACCGCTTGAATCTGGTGTTCATATAATGGTGTGACAATAACTAAAGGTTTAGGGGTGTTGAGCGATGTGAATCGTAAGTTTCGTATTGAGAATTGTAAGATAGATGAATACGAAGAGTTTTGTGCGGTGTAAATGACTTTGGATATAGAAGTGGGGTTCTGAGGGCGAAGGGAAAGGCATTGAAAGAACTCTTCATGTGTATCACCTGAAGCCACCCACGAAGTTGAGAAAAGAAAAAGTAAAAGAAGTGAAAGCGATGAATTGTATGGAGTCTTCATTTCTACTTGTTGATTTGTGCAAAAGAGAGGATTAAAGGCCAACTATTTATAGGAAGTTTGAGGTAACTACTTTGGTGAACAAGAGAATGTGAACGTTATGTTACACAGTTCTATGCGATTTGTAGCTGACGGAGAAATATGAAGAGCCCTACTTGCTTGACATTTTCCTTTTAGATTTCCTATTCAGGAGACCTTCAAAAATGTCCTCCTTCGGGATAATGTAATGGATTAATTGAATAAGCAATAAAGCAGCCCCAAAAAGGATCTAGATGTCTGCATGAATAAAAAAAAAAAAAATATCATATTAATAGTATCGGATTTATTCGAATACATTTTCTCTGTAATCTTTATATGTCTTTGCATGCATTGGAAATTTGTAGAGGACCTTGTTACAGATAGCAGATCCATCTGAGTTCAAGTTAGGAAAAACATATTAAAGAGATTCAAATCTCACAATTCAAATACTTTTGATGACTATAACACACTCAAGTCAACAGAATGCAATTAAAGAAGATTTCTAATTATTCTATGGTCATAGATATCGACTTTCTTTCCCTATGTGGAAACTTCTTCATCTTTAATTTCAACATATATTACTTATGTCCCAATTTTGTCTGATTATTCTACATTCCCAACCGAAGACAAACAGGAGGATGAAGATGCAAGTGCATACGTTGAAATTCATATATGCATAAAATTAGAGACAGAATGCACAAGTTTGGGTTCTCACATTCATATTGAAGTTGGGCTTTCATGACTAAGTCCAGTGTTCAAACCTTTTTAACTAAATCAAATATGGGGCTATGGAGTATATTCTTCAATCCAAGAGATGCATCTCCATGGCTTTTCACCGTGATTTAAACAAACCAAGCAAAGTTGAACATGAACACCGAAGGATCAGCATGCTTCATCACAGGGGATAGCTGTATAGTAGGACTTTGTGTCCAATAACTCTAATACCATTTGTTGTAGTTCCTTTGTTCTAAATAATTTTGATACCAATAACTGTGAGATATGAATTGATGATAAACAAGACAAGGACGCAAAACATTATTATCATGTAATACGCATGAAACATTATTATCATGGATCCAATTGATTCCACAAAGAAGGTCCCTAGGTCTATGTCATGATGCAGAACAAAATTTCAAACCCATTAAAAACAAGCCCAAGAACCTAATGAATGGTTAAAATATGGTTACTAGAATTCATTAAATCCATGACGACTCACAATCTAAGTATATCAATCCCAAAGTTCGCGATCTAGATCACCAAAATGTACAATCTCAAATTATAATGCTAACCCTAAATCAATTCGCATTTGAATATGTAACACAAATATAAAATATATATTAATTAACTACATATATATAGATTTATAGTTATTTATTATTTTAGATAATAGAAAATCAGGCACAAATATCAGATAAATCGTAACTGACTTAGTGTTTACAAATGTTTTGTAACATATAATATTATACCGTAGTGAAAACAATTTAGATAAAAATTTTAAAACAAATTGTGATTCAAAATAATTTATCAGCTAAACATACTTTTATCGTATCACATACTTAAAAAAATATCATATTACGTACATGTACTCGTACTATGTATTCAAGCGACTCACGATCTAAGTAACCTCCGATTAAATCATCAAAAGATTCTAAATTGATTGGGGCCAAAAGTCCAACCAGGAGTTTTACACAAGAAGAAAGCTAATGGTAAAACAAATTACTAGGCACATGCAAATTTAATAGAAAATTTGGCACAAATCTCTCTCTCTCTCTCTATCTATCTATCTGTAATTGTCCTCACTTAAAAAGAAAACACCAACCAACTCTCTTTCTCTCTCTGTGCCGAGTGGCATGACCCATGACATCAATGATGAGGCAGAGGTTGCCCCATAAAGCGGTTTTATTTCCATTTCTTTTTGTTTATGGCTCGGGGTTCTAGCATGGTGAGAAGGGGGAGAGAGGTGGGCTTGGCATGGGTGTCTCTGAGTGAAAGGAGAGTGTCTGGCAACTGGGTCAAGTGAAGCAAGTTGAAAAAACACTCAATACAATCCACACAAACTGCTCTAGCTATCTCACATCCATATCACTCGTTTATTACACGAGTTATACGATAAGACATACATCACCCACTAAACAAAAAATCTTTTATCCCGGCACCCATTACACTTGTTTGACCCATTTGTTATAGCAATAACAAAGCATGGCAAAAAAGCTGAAGTCGTAAGCAAAAAGTAAACAATAAATCACTACCAAATTCAAAAACCCCAAATCTCAACCATACGACATCCCACACTCACTACCAGTGACTTACTACCAAAATCTGAACAGTAACCTACAAACAGTTCTAAAAAATTCTACCCCAAGCAAAAACCTCCCACATTCAACATCTTCAAACAAAAAAAATAAAATCAAACACATGGCAAGCCACAACTCCAAAAACCAATAACAGTAAAAGTTACCTGTGGTAGTCGTCGAGGGCCTTATGCGAGAGTTGGTCTGAGTCGTCTCACAGTAGAGTGAAAGGCGAGATAGACCGAGAGGCCTAATTAACCTTTTTTTTTTTTTGTTTTGTTTTCAATAGAGGCGGCTGGTTGCTGAGTAAGATTATTTTTGACCACAGCCTTGGTCAGCAATTGCCTAAGTGGTTTGTGGGTGTCATTGATCAAAAACAAAAAAAAAAAATTATTTTAGACCAGTCCTAACATTTCTCGAAGCTCTTACGTTCCTAACTTTTTTTTAGTGGTAACTTGACCACAGTGAGCGCTATATTGACTCAAATGATTCTAATTTAATTTCTGCACCTCACTCGTTAATATTTAAAATCTTACATATATCACTTATTTTGTACTATATTAAAAGAAATTGAAGAAAAATGGTAACAAAGAGGATCTAAATCACTCTTCCACCACTCTCTATCTTTCCCTCTATTCCATCAATTTATTTTCTCTCTTTTGTCACTCTCTCTCATCTTTATCTTTTGTTTTTGTGTTCCCTCTTCCATTAATTCATGTCTATCTTCTACTTTTCTCGCTCCATTTCTATCTTCTACTTCTTTCTCTCTCTCTCTCTCTCTTCTTATGAAATCAATAAATCAAAATCATTTTATACTCTCTTCTCGACTATATAATTAAGAACAAACCTCAAGAAAATAATTGTCTCTCTCCTGATTATATGTAGGGCAAGGAAAGCAGAAATCTAAATCTACTATAAATCTTGACTGGGCTGAACATTTCACACCTACACCTTAATAGTGAAAATTATTTAGATCTTGACCAGTTCTTCATGATGATGATCAAGTAGAAGCATAAATTCTGAAAATTGAGTGGGCTGGACATANCACCTACACCTTAATAGTGAAAATTATTTATATCTTGACCAGTTCTTCATGATGATGATCAAGTAGAAGCATAAATTGTGAAAATTGAGTGGGCTGGACATTTCACCAAAGAAGATGAGTTTTGATGGACTTGGCAGAGTGTTTTGATGAAGTTCGAACTAAAAAATTAAACAATGAAATACTAATTTTATTGTCTAAATGTGTGTAAGTTGTGATTATTTGCTGATTGTAGTGTTATTAAAAATTTTTTTTTCCATATTTAAGTATCACGTAACAAGTTTATGAAAAAAAAATCGTTAACAATCTAAACGCTATCCACTTGAGGGGCCATATAGAAATATATTCACTACTTCAGGGACCAACATGATGTAATTGAAACATTGGAAACCAAAATGAGACAAACTCCATATTTTGAGAACCTCCAATGTAATTAATCCAAAAATGAAACATAGTTACTTCCATCAAAAAATTTGTTGGATTGGTTGATTAAGCACCAAAGTAACACGGATTGAATACTTTAGGGATCAAATTGACAAAATTGATACAATGAAGACTAAATTGACAAAAAATATATTCTTTATGGACCAAAAGTAGTATAAATTAAAAAAAAAAAAAAGCAGAGATGAGGGAAGGCTTCTAAATATCCCTCCCTACTAATCGATTTTCTATAATATATAGTATAGATGCATAAAAAATAAGCCAGGTTTAGTATTTGACAAAAGTAACTTGTTTGGTTGTGTTGTAAGAAGAAATTGAATAGTTTTTAATTATGTTATAATTTAAATTGTTAAACACGATAGGAAACTGCAATAATATTATTTGTGTCTGTCACAATTCCAAATAACCTGATACAAAAATAACATAACACGAATCATTTAGATCCCTAACTGGCCTAAAAGATGTTAGAGCTTCTATATTATAAAGCATTTGTCTGATTCTTTATCATCTTAGGGTTGGGAATGATTAAGGATCTATTAAATTTTAAAATAAATAGAAAATAAAAAATGGAGTCTTAATTAAAGAAATTTTGTGAGAGCACGAGAAGCATGTTTGAGTTTTTCAACTACATGCATATGGGGAGATTGGATACGAATTCCTTCCCACACTTTTCCCTTCAATCTTCTTTAATTACATATCACTTCCCATTTGCTTATCATGGATAAAATATCCATCCTAATATTTTCGGATAAAAGAAATTGATGGATGATTTTTTGTGTTTCCTTGTTTCGAATAGTTCGAAATGAATATGACATTATTATAGTTAGTGTCTCTTCACCCAATTAGTTACATCTCATAGAGATTCTGGACGGCATGTTCTCTGAGGAAGTTGCATCCATGTTGTCTCAGGAAGAGATTACACGCACTGTCCTTGGCACTAGACTCGATTATAATAAAGGTTATGGCATTGGCTTGAAGCCATCTTCCACGACAAAATTTGCTAAGACGGTAGCACATGAGCAAAGGCAATAACTTTGAAGGCTGTTGTTGCGACCATTCAAGGTGAAAATGAAACTCAACAGAACAACATAGTTCATTTTCAGCCAACAAACGTCAACGCTCGACTAGCCGAGTAGCATTGTTAAACATAGTTTTTTCAATTGTATCCTACATAGATTCTAGTGTTGTAATCCAGTATGAATAAAAGCATGAGTTCTGTATTGAGCTCATCGACCCTTATCATCCATTCAATCAAGTTAGACACGTAATTGTTGGCCCAACAACTAACTATCCACCTCTGGGTGTTCATATTGAACCCGCAACAAGATGACGACAGTTATATGATAAACGTTGTTAGTTTAAATAATATTATCGTTGACATGGACAATTGGTATCGAAGACAGATTCGGTTGATATATATGATCTACAAAATTCAAACAATCGTGACAAAAACATAGCAAGGCTTGAACATGAAAAACATTGACTTGATTGTTTGCATGCAATTAAGTCTGCAAAAATTGAGCATTTTGATCCTGACTATGCCGAGATTGATATTTTAGAGAATCCATTACTTATTTTTGATCATGAACTTCCTGATTATTCAATTTAAGTGATGATTCATCCAACACTTTAATTCATCAAATTTATGTGTACTTGGTAACCCTCTACGTTATTTTGAACATCAATCACATTATTGACAGACTATATTTTTTTTNAATTCATCAAATTTATGTGTACTTGGTAACCCTCTACGTTATTTTGAACATCAATCACATTATTGATAGACTATATTTTTTTTAGTCTAATGTAATAACTTTGTTTTATTTAATGTATAAGTTTCATTTTTCATTTGTGCATGATTTGTACACTTCTGTGGATCAAATCTCATTGTTCGATGAACTTATGATATTGTTGTGGAATAGCAATTTTTTAACATATAAAAAAGAAAAATGTTATTTGGATCTGATCTAGGGATTTAATAATGTACAACCATTAGATTGGTTGTAGACTCCATCTAACATTGAAACTAAAAACTAATCCAATGGTTGTGCTGAAGTCACATCATTATGTCCTCAAATTAAGTTCCTAAATGAAGTCTCTGTAGCATTGCTCTATACAAAATATCCCAAATTGAGTCACAAAATTCATTTATACGCAAAGTATATTTTATGCAATGTTGGTAGTGTAAGGCAATGAATTAATTTTTTTTAATCCATAAATTACATTTTTTTTATATCTTCATGGTTTGTAAATTTTTATGCGAAACATGGTTAGTAATTTATTTTTTAGTTAAAACAAAAAATTGAAAGAAATTAAATATCAACATGACGAGTAATATCACAAAAAAACTTAACAAACTAAATATTTAAAACAGGATGAAGTCACAAATATCACCTAAAAAAACTAAGGTTACAGACTCAAAACATTATTGTAAATGACGTTTTTTATTTTAAAAACTTCATTTAAAATGACATTTTTAGTGTGTAACCATGTTAACGGTGTTAATTGTCGTTTTTCCTTTTAAACGTCATTTTAAATGACGAATTTAAAGACGTCATTATGAATGACAATATAATAAGTAGATCCAACAATTTTCTCAAGTTTAAAATGGTCATTCCAAATGACGTGTTAGGCCATGAATGTGTAATTTGGAATGATGTCTTCATAAAAAAGATTAAGTGTGAAAAATAAGTTTAAAACTAACTGAGTTTGAAATATAAGTTTGGATAAGGGCTGAATATGGTCAAAAGCTCGGTTTGTACGTGGGTGATTTGTTATTTAGTGTGCAAATTTATTGAAGCGGTGCCGTATTGGGTGAACATGGTGTTTACTATACATAAGTTCTGTTTTTGGAGTAACTGCAAAGAAAGCTGCACCCGTGTACGTGGGTGTGTACGTAAGTTTAAGGACAGAACCATGTTAATTCTTTGGTGCTCGTTTTTGATCAATTTCCTTTTTATGTTTAATTTTGACATAAATGACTTTGGGTATGGAAGGGAAAGGCATTGAAGGAAACTCCTCATGTATGTCAGCGGAAGCTACCCATGAAGTTGAGACAAGAAAAAGTAAAAGAAATGAAAGCAATGAATGGCATGGAGCCTTCACTTCTTGTTTGGTGACCGAGAGAATGTGAACGTTACGTTACACAGTTTTATTCGATTTGAATCTGATGTAGAAATATGAAGAGTTCCTATGCAGGGGACCTTCAAAAATGTCCTCCTTCGGGATAATACAATGAATTAAATGATTAAGAAATTAAGCAGCCCCCAAAATTTTCTGGTAAAAGGTTTTAGATATCTGCGTTCAAGTGCATGAACAAAAAAGAAAGAAAAAAAAAAGGGCCCACATAGTCATACATAGTACATGAGAGTAAATTATACCATAAAGTATCAATTTTGTTTAGTATCACTCTGGTAGATAATTACAAAGTTGAAAATTTGTCAAATGATGGAAGAAAACCCCAAAGAGCTTCCCACCAAGTGCCTAATACCACTTTATATTACTTCTTTTGCAACCAAATAGTTGATGGAAAGAAAAAAAAGATCGGATAAAGGAAGAAAATTTGAAGTTTTGGAAGGACAAAGTCATTGATAGGTATTTTTAATAATTTTTGACCTGCACATGTGTAATAGACAGTTGCTTATTGGTAGTATAGACCACTCACATATTCATTTACCTTTAAAATATTGACAGTTGTTATCTATTGAAGTGATATAAAATAAAATTGATATTTTAGGGTGTAATGTGAGAAATTTTATGGTTGAAAGTACAAAGTTAGACAAAAGTTATAATTCAAGGGGATAAAGT